AAGACTCCCTGTTAAACAGACAAAACAAAACAAAACAAAACAACAAAAAACTAAAAGCAAAAAAGCAAACCACTACCACCACCACCACCACCGTCAACACTACCACCACCAACATCATCACCACAAAAACAAGCTACTTTTGGGTATTGCTCTATGTCTTGAGGGCTCTGTGGGGGCCTCAGGCAGAATGAATTGGCTACTAATGCTCACTGGTGATCAACTGTGTCTTACGGTTCTGACTTATACCCAAGACCTTTAATTACTGGCCTAGCTCTACAATCTCAGTTCCAGGAAGGCTCTTTCTTTAGAAGCTGGCATGAGGTGTTGATGTCTTCTGATTTCTTAGATGGCTAGATCTTGTGTGCAATGGCTACTTGGTTTCTCTCGGCTCCGGACTCAGGCAGCATACCCTCTGCTTCAAGGAGAACACGTTGTCACTTTTATCTGGATGGTTGTCTTAGTCATTGTTCTATTGCTGTGAAGAGACACCATGACTAAGATAATTCTTATAAAAGAAAGTATTTAATTGGAGGTTTGCTGAAACTTTAATTTTTTTTCAAATCCTATTTTTAATGATGGTTCTTTTTTTTTTTTTTTTTTTTTTTTTTGGTTTTTCGAGACAGGGTTTCTCTGTATAGCCAGAGCTGTCCTGGAACTCACTCTGTAGACCAGGCTGGCCTCGAACTCAGAAATTCGCCTGCCTCTGCCTCCCAAGTGCTGGGATTAAAGGCGTGCGCCACCACCGCCCGGCCTTTAATGAGGGTTCTTAAACGCTTTAACCTCCCTTGTAGCCCACAACCCACAAGAGGTAGTGGAATAGAAAGGATACAGAGGAAGTGGACCTGTTTAGAAAGGTTCTTTGGAGCAACTCCTGTCTGTGTTGTCTGGAAATTGGCAGTTCTGTTCGCAGGTTAGCAGGCAGCCACAGCTCAATCTACTTGCAAACACCTCATGGATACATCAGCAGTCCAGTTTGGTTGAGTTGGGTTAGCAACAGCCATGACATAACCTAGCAGAGACAACCAAGCTAGGCCTCAGCTTCTGCTTGAGTTAGCAGGAGGGACCAGCAGGAACATCAGGAGAAGTACTTGGCTGTGTCTCTCTCAGAGAAGGGAAGATCAGCCAAGATGTGAGACTCACAAGCGTTGCACAGCTAGCTGTACCAGCAAGCCAAGCCCTCTCTGTCACTCCATAGAGTCCTATTTGTACTCTCTAAAAACCATGTGTCCTCTACATGCCTTGCTTCAGCACGGGTCTTGCCTCAGCATGTGCATCCAATCAGCCCAAGTCGGAGACACCCTGACAAATGGAGCTCAACTATGCAATGTAAGGTGGACCAAACATGCATGTTGTTAGCAAGGAATCCTTCATCACGTGTGCTTTCACATGTTTGCTTTAGCAGAACATCCCCCCCTTTGTGTCTGCTTCAGTGAAATGTTCCTTCATGAGTCTGCCTTAGTCCACTTAGTCCACACAGTTTCACCTGTGTCCACTTCAGGGAAAATACTCCTTTACGTGTTTGCCTCAGCAAAACACCATCCAACACAACTGACCCTCCAAAGAACCCTCAAGTTTCCACTTGAGCTTGCTTGTAGTTTTAGAGGTTTAGTTCGTTATGATGAGGTGGCGTGAAGAGTGCTGAAGCAGTAGCTGAGAGCTACATCCTGATCCAAGGGCCAAGAGGGAGAACTGGGCCTAACAAATCTCAGAGACACACTCCCTCTAACAAGGCCATGCTTGCTCCAACAGGGCCACACCTCCTGGTCCTTCTCAAATAGTGCCACACCCTAATGACTAAGCATTCAAATATATGAGTCTATGGGGCCCATTCTTATCCAAACTGCCACAGTGATCTTCCTCTCAGTAGCTGCATTCCAGATGGATACTATATGAAGGAATAGGTTTGCAAGGAATAGGAGTCAGCATCTCCTATGTTTCCCCTGGATAGATGGCTGCCAAATCTGCTCCCGGAGGCCTCCACTGGTCGAAGTGCTAGATACTAATGAAGTATCCTAACCCTGATGATCTCTTTCCTTTTTAGAACTCCTGCATACTAGCTAGCCTTGCCCAGTCAGATCTGGCCGTGGAGCTGTGCCTGAGAGACTCCCAACTCTACAGATTTCCACAGTATGGCAAAGTGTCAGAATGCAACCAACCTATTTAATATGGAACTCAGGCATAATGGTCTCTCTCTATTTTAACTGCTTAAGAGGGATGAAATATATTCCTGTTTTTCTGGGAGTGTTTGGATGAATAATAGACTTAACTTGACCACGAGTAGAGGAAAATCCGTTTTTTCAATATACAGTAGTTTAGACTCCGAGTTTAACAGAATATTAAGGGCAACTGTGAAAGTACAAAGATGAAAGGAGAAAGGGTTTTAGTAGAAGTAAGTGTGTGTGTGTGTGTGTGTGTGTGTGTACACTGCATTGGCTATCACAAGTATCTCTGTTTCCAGCTTTGGGAGGCCCTGGGCCAAGGCCCTTCAAATCATGTCTGCCTATCCTTTCACTATCACTTGAGACTGACTGTTTAGTAGAAGCAGGTTCCTGGAAAGATCCATCTTTTTCACCACTGTTGCTCAGATTGTACACAACTCCATGTTACACCTGCAAAGGATTTCATTCTCTCTAATCTCCCAGTTCACACTCCAGATCCGGGAACCCCGGTTTAGGTTTGAAACCAAACCCTTCACTTGTTAGTGTAAGATTTTGAGCATAGACCCTCCTACTGACTCCTTTCAAACAGAGGCAGGAGCTGCTACTATCAGCATACTTATTAAACCATCTCTCTTTTATTTCTTTTTAAAATTAAAATATAATTTCATCATCCCCTCTTCTCTCTTTCTCCTCCCTCCATTTTTATCTTTTAAATTTTTAATTATTCATTTTTATTTTATGTGTATGGGTGTTTTGCCTGTATGTATATATGTATGTCTGTGCACCACTTTCATTTCTGGTGCCCATGAAGGCCATAAGAGGGCATCAGATCTCCAGAATGGGAGTTATATGTAGTTGTGAGTTGCTATGTGGGTGCTGGGAATTGAACCTGGGCTCTCTGGAAAAGCAGTCAGTGCTTTTAACCATTGAGACATCTTTCCAGTTCCCTTTATCTTTTTAAGCAAAACAAAATTGGAATGTTTTACAGAGGGTTTTTAACACAGGTTTACGTGTGGGTGTCAAGGGAGTGAGAGAGCTTAGAAGGGCAGCACACAGCATAAAATGCAGATGCAGGCTGTGGGGGGGAGAAAGAGGGAGGAAAAGGGAGAGGGGAGAGGGAGAAGGAGAAGGAGGAAGAGAGAGGGAGGGATTTTTATTTT